TGCTCTACCACTTGAGCCACAGCACCACTTCCGGCTTTTTTCTTTTTGCTTATGTGGTGCTGAGGAATTGAACCCAGGGCCTCAGGCATGCAAGGCAAGAGCTCTACCACTGAGCCACCTTCCCAGCCCAAGAATTCTAGAGATTCTTATGATAGCCTTGGCAGAGACCACAGATAGTGCAGAGCATCATCGGGTAAGACAGGGAGGTTGTGTGTGTGTGTATGTGTGTGTGTGTGTGTGTGTGTTCCCTTATCTCTTTTTCTATTCTTAAAATCTATCAGAATCTTATCTTGAGGGCTCCACTCTAATAAGCAACAGACATTCTGGAATCGATAATGAATACTTTGGTATGACCCATATGAACTTCTTATGCAAATGTCCTTAAGAAGATCCCTGTCATATTCTCCTTCTTGTTTTTTTTTCTCACCTCTCAGAGGCCCCACCTCTAAATACCAAAGGTGGATTAAGTTTCTACCCTTAATTGCTCACGTTGGAGATCAGGTTTCAACACCAGAAGTTTTGTGGATTAGATTTCAAACCATACCCAAATGATGGCATCGTATCAGTTTGTAAAGTGACTAAATGTTACATAATGAATTCAAACCATTTTTTGCATCAACTAAAATCTATAAAACTTAAAAAAAATAAACTTGTTTTTATGTCATGTCTCTCTTACAGAATCCTTTCAACATAAAGATAACTACAAATTACTATTTATATTTTTGGTAGATAGGGTCTGTTCTTATAGGTTACAGAAGCTTTTGTAAACCTTGACTCTTCTATTCAGCAGATCAGTTATTCATAGGCCTCTCCTTCTACTTTGCATCCCTCATAAATGTGACAGAGGTGCCTTCTGTATCTTCATTCTAATGGCTGTTTAAAATTCAGACAGAGACCCTTGGAGACCTTCTCCTTGGCTGTCATCAATCTATTTGCCAACAGTCTTTGGAGATGCTTGCTAAACTGGCAAGCATCTTACTTAATACTATGAGATGGGAGGTGACTCTTATTATTATATCTTTGCACCAGTTAAGGACATATCTTTGACACATGGGAGAAGGTCAGAGATTGACCTGGGGCCCAGGAATGTTATTATTGCCAAGAGCCAGCAGCCACTAGAGGAGGTATGGGAACAGAATTTAAGCAATAAAGGCAGTTACATCAAGTTTTCCCTGTCTTATCCTCTACCACATCCAGATCAGGGCGTCTCTGCCCTTACCAAGGACCTTCTCTAAACCATCTGACCAGCCCACAATCTACTGCTTCCTCTGATAGACCAACTTACTTTTGAGGCTTTGGGATACCAGCACACTTACTTGCTAAAGGTGTTAAATTCTATGTAGTCTGGCAGAAAGAAACCAAGTTGGGAGTGTTATGTCTTAATTGTTGTATTCTTTGTGCCCTGGTATTCCTCTGAGAAGCCTGGGGGTTAGTAAAGGACTCGGTTGGGGTGGGGGTAGGGGGCTGTCCATTCATTTTAACCAGACAAGTAGCAGAATTTTCTCTTTTCTCTGCTAAGCACAGGGCCCATGCTGATGGTGTACAAAACTGAACAACTTCCAGAGAGTACCTTTGATGTGGAAGTAAAAATATATTAGGTTGTTTATGATGAAAACTTTCCGTCAGTAAAATGGCTTTAAGGAAGTTTTCTTCTTTTTAGAGTCACCGTCAGGGCTGATGGGGATGCAGGAGACGCTGGGTACAGAAGAGTGCTGGAGGAGTGAGACTGACTGGTTCACATCTTCCCTTTGATTCCCATATGCTTCTTATATCAGGCATTTGTGTTGGATGCTCCTAATTCAAGTTTCCTATTTGTCTCCTGGAGAAACAAGTATTTGTCCAGAAACCATCCCATTTGTCACTGTTGACAGAAATTTAAGTCAGACCAAGGAACAGAGTCTGCTCAAAGAACTCTCTGGTAGGTTGGGAAATGGGACTAAGGAAGGTAACTAGCTAATTCAGGCCTTCTTTTGCTGCCTGAAGTAGAGCTAGAAAGATGGAGACCGAGTCTCCAATGTAGATTTTCCAGTCCTTGTGCAGGGTCAGGCTGGGGACCACATTTTTGTCATGGAATTTCTTCAATGCTTTAATGCCTTTGGTGTTTGTGTAAAGGTCCATCGCTTTGTGCTTGCTAGCCTCAGAGAAAATCTGGAATAATATACCATGGCAAAGCCAAGAGACCTTCTGTGGGTCTCAACTTCCTAGTGGAGAAAATATAAATAATAATAATACTCCCCCATGGGGTAAAATGACAGTGCCCAATGTTCCTTCCTCCTACTTACTGGCTAGAATCACACTCCCAACCAGCAGAGGAAAACACCACAGGGAAGACTCAGGTGATTTCCAAGGATGTTCACAACTTCTCTGTAGTGAAGTATGGCCTCCTCTACAATAACACAACAACAATGCACTGCCTATAGGGAGAGGGAGGCACGGTGGAGCTAAGGGCCACAGTGGAAACAGGAATACATTCAAGGAGTACTGCTGAGATGGTACAGGGGTGGGGACACCTTATGCTTCCACCAACATCTTAGGACAGGGAGGAGCTAAACTCTTCCCCTGTAGACCCTGGTGCCTATTTGCACCAATGTGGGCATTCGTGAGGTTAAGTTTGAACTTTCATTAAGCTAGAGGCAGGAAACTTTCTGTTTTGGCATCCTTGGCATGGGCCAACTGACTGTACCTCCATCTTTGGACGAAGCTCCCTCCTTCTACCCTCTAGCCAGCTTGCTGGCCCTAGCTCTCCCTTGGTCCTGATTGAGAGATCTGTCTCCGCTGGATAGCGATGGAGTGACCTGAGGCTGGTGTCTGCATCTCTTCATTTTATTTACTGCTCTGGCAGTGTGTAAGACTGCCTGAACCTTTCAGCATAGTGTCTAGAATCGTGCCTGGCATTTGAAGCCCTTATGAATCACTTATTGGATCACTGTTGATCACCCTTTCCTTTCTCCTTTTCTTACAGATAACTGGCTTAAGAGAGTCCCTTTAGACAGTTGAGAGGTTTTCCTAACATTCCCCACCTTGCTTCTCCTTGCAGTGTAATTCCAGAAGCCTGGAGCCATCAGGCTCCCCTTACCTCTGTAGGTCAGCAGAGCCTCATCAAGGAACTCGGCAGCCTTCCGGAAATGCTGGGAGATGTCCACCTCTGGGAAATCATCCACCTCCACACCCAAGTACTGGATCTCCAGACCAGTGTAGAATTCAGGGCCAGTATAAACACCGGTGCCGTGTGCAGCATTGAGGATATGAGTGATACCCAGCCTCTTCAGTCTGCCCTTGTTCACAGCCACACTCCTGGGGCAAAGGAACATGATTGCCAGAGTGAGAATTAGGAAGGTTCATTGGCATGTGGTAGGAATCCTGCTTCTGAGTTGGGAGAGCACAGCTGGGCTAGGGCCTTCTCCTATGCTTTTGGAGGTCATCAGCTCACATCAAGTGACTTGAAGCTACACTAAGACAGAGAAAAGAGACCTGGAACTGTCCATGGAAGGCAGGTTAAAAAGGAGAACAAGACTGAGTATAAGGAAACTTTGGGATGACTGAGTAACCTCTAGTTTAAAGCTCTTGAAATTGTACAAGAGATTTTTTTTTCTGTTTCTCTTGTTTGTTCATTTATCTGTCTTGGGCAGGGGATAAGGAGGGACACAGAAATGGAGGGACAGAAGGTGAACAAATGCAGCAGTGATACTCAGTAGACACTATGTTGAAAATGAACTATACAATTTGGGGGCAGAAATAGGAGAGAAGAAAGAGAAGGAAGGGATGACATTGTCTAAAAAGAAATAGTTAATGCCTTTGTACATTACCTTTCTAATAACAATTAAAAATACTAACCCTATTTCTAGGAAATCTAACTTACTAATATAAATAAATGCAGAAGATTACATCACTCAAGAAAAGAAAAGAAAATGTACTTTTATCAGAGCACAGAAGTGACAAGTAAAATAATAGTATTAGTTGTTTTTTACATTATTATCACATGCTGTTTTTCAAAAGTTCTTTCATGTGCATTATTTTATCCTATGAATAAACTTACAAGCTATTTTCATTCCCATTTGAAGCATATAAAGATGAATCAAAGAGCTTTTATAACTATCTAAAACTGTGAAAGAATTTTTTAAAAGGCTGAATAAAAACTACTGGGATGTACAAGACACTATATTGAAAAAACGAACTTTACAATTTAGGTGGAGGAGGGGGTAGGGAGAAGTAAGGGGAGGGGGAAGGGGGGAGTGTAGTTGTGGAGGTAGGAGGGAAGGGAGTGTAGGGGAAAAACAAAGGAGGAGGCAACAATGCTTGATAAGAAATGTACTCATTGCTCATGTAACTGTAACCCCTCTGTACAGTATTTTTACAATAAAAACATATTTAAAAAAACTACTTGGAGACCTGTGGGGCATGTGCAAGTGGTAGAGAGGTTGCTTAGCAAGCCCTGGGCTCAAATCCCCATACTGCCAGAAAACAAACAAAAACACAAAACCAACCCATTTAAGATGGAACGCAAATGTATAAAGCCATACATTATTTGGCAAATGCTCTATTGCTGAATGAGTGACATCCCTATGCCAGAACTAATGTTTTGATTTCTAATTCAGGGTTCATTTTGCTGCCTCTTTTATATCTGTAGATCAACTTAAAGATCACTTAGGACTTGATGCCACCTCTGAACGAAACCAGGTTCTAGGGAATTGGTTACTCGTCATGGAGCAAAGTGCCAATGTCCAAACCTTTTGCCCTACTGTCTGCTTGAGCTCCCCATTTCCTCTAGCACCTCTGGGCATAAAGGTAATTACACTGGGCGGATATCTCAGTAAGTAGTCAATGGACCAGCAAAAATTATTGTCATAAATTAAGCTGCTGGCCTTGCACTGACAAAACTCAGAAGGAATAGAATATGAGAATCAGTAAAACACACTTCTGGATATGATTGGGCTCTAACCCTACCATGATGGAGTCAAAATTTGAATAGACTCTTGGGAGGTGGTGGTACTGTGGAAGGTCGGACCTGTTTGGAGGAAGTTGGTCATTGAGGGTATGTTTTTGTGGCTGTCTTGCTCTTGTCCCTTCTGACTGCTCTGTTCTGCTTCTTGGCTACCATTATTTGAACAGCTGGGTTCCATCAATCCTCCCTGACAAAATAGACTAAAACTCTGAAATTGTAAGTCACAGTAAATATCAGATCTGGGCATAATGGCACATGCCTGTAATTCCAGCTACTCCAGAAGCAGAGATTAGGAGAAATGTAATTCAAAGACAGCCTGGGCAAAAAAAATGAGACTCAATCTTAATAAGCTGGGCCTGGTCGTGTATGTCTGAGGTTCTAGCTATGCAGGAGACATCAGTAGCAGGATCATACTTTGAGACTGACCTGGGGCAAAAATATGAGACCATAATCTAAAAAAATAATTCAAAAAGCAAAAGAAGAACTAGATGGTGATATGTGGCTTCAGTGGTATAGTAACTTGCCTAGTGAGTGGAGAGCCCTGAGTTCATTAATACCACACTGTACATGTATACAATATGCTTTTGTCACCTGATTTTCTTACTGGATCGTGCACATTTTCATATGTTGGCAACTATATACCTACATCAGTATCTTCAGCGGCTCTTAGTGTTCTGTTACATGGAGTTACAGATGGTGGAGTTGCCAAGAGTCCGTGTCAGGAAGAGAGGTCTAGACCACCAGGAGAAAAAAGACTGTGCTGGACAGCTCTGCTGGGAGAGCAGAGGAAGTGTGTTCATTTTCCCCATGGATCCCTGTGTGCAGGTAGGTAGGAAGCCTTTCTCCTGGCAGCCTCCACTGGATAGACAGAACCAGGGAGGCCTTTGTGAAGTTTAAGGGAATTTCATCTCCTGGAGGCACTAAACAGAGAGGTGAGACAAAGGGGCATGGCCTACCACGGTCACACTCACTTCTCAGCTATGAAGACGTTGGGCCACACCTCATCAACTTCATTCCTGGGAGCCTCTTGGCGATCCTGCACCAGGGCCCGTTGCAGGTCCAGCACGCAGGGAGTATTGTAGAGGCTGGTGTCATCCATCTTCTCCCTGACACGGTTGTACAGATCCTCCACCAGCAGCTGCTCAGCTGACTCCAGCATGCCTTGACAATCAGTGTCTGTTCTGAGCCCACGAGGTTTGAGTTCTAGAGACAGGCAGCATTTGCAACACAGTTAGGAACAACACGGCCTTTCCTGTCCCTTGAGAGAGTTTGCTTTTGGGTCCACCGCTTGCCAGGACTCTTGGCATTGACTGCATGTCCAAAGGCTCTGCCATGAAGAACTTAAGGGGGACCTGGGTGCCCACTGCCTTGACTTGTAGTCAGGAACAGTAGCAGTTGGGTGTGGGGGAAGGGAATTCAAACTAGTTTCCCTTACTCAGTCCTTTGTTTGTCTAAAGCTGGATGACATATTTTAGACCCAAGTCTCTGAATACGTGTGACTCAGAACTCTCAGCGGTGCCCAGTACAAAGTGGGTGCCCACAAATATTTGCCACATGAATAAATGCTGTTCTTGCATAATGTAATTCACTCCATTTCACATGGAATGCAAATAACACTGAGAAAACTTTTTCAGCAGTCATCTATGCAATATTACCTTCTAATATATATTTAATTTACTTATTTATCTTATTTATTGTCTGATTCTCTGCTCTGGGGCCTTAGTACTTATGATTCTAAGCCTTCTAGCTTGCAGACAGTTAAACGTATCAGCCATGATTTCCCCAGCCAGCCTCAACCCAGGATTCAGGGCTTTTCAGAATAGCTAAGATTCTAAATGAACCCACAGTTCAATGAATCTACATCTTAGGGACCTTTATCTTCTCCTATTCATACACTTGCTCATGATTTATCAAATTAGAAGGAATGTGAGGAGAGGTAAGAAGTTTCCTTTCTCTACATAGGTAAGAATAGGGGCAAGCACACAAACCTTCCCTCTAACTCAGTAGCCAAGAATACTGAATTCAGAGGAAGCAAAAAGAAGAGAAGCATGTTCTCTGTATTGGCTACAGCCAATCGCCAGCACCATCTCCTTCCTGGATGGGCTGTCTCTGGGCAGGGAGAGGTAGAATGTGCACAGTTAAATTTGGCTGAGCGTGGCTCAGGCCTTTAGGGAATAATTTGGCAGATGTCTGAAGACTGTTTGCTGTTCAAAGCCTGGGCCTCCTGATTCTACCCAGGCTGAGGATTCCATGCCTAAAAGCATCAGATCTCAACTCTAAATCTTCTCTGATCTCTGTTTCAAAAGCAGAAAGAAGACCTTGCAATCCCAGCACTAGATTTTGTTTAAAAATAGATGAAGTGTTCCTATTTTCTCTACCACCCAGTTTTCTCACCTGGCTCCCCTGGGGCCCTATGACCCAAGTGTAAAAAACCCTTCCATTGCATAGACATCTTTCCTTTACATGTACAAAATAGAACTCCCTAACCCTCATGAAAAGATACAGCACTGTCCTCCTCCACTGATAAAGTAGTTTGTTGTTTTGATTTCTTCTCTTTTGAGCTTAAAAATAAATGTCCCTTATCCCCATTGGGGGCTGCTGGTTTCTCTGGGTCTCTGGTTTACATCTCAGCTGTATTAGGGTCTGGCTCCCTGCCTGCAACAATTCTTTGATTTAGTTCTATTAGCTGAGCTTTTTACAGGAGAAAGTAGAGCTGGCACTTCTCCCCTGCCCTCTCCCCGGTGGGACACATGAAGAATTTCAGGGGAATGAGGGTTTTTCATATAGTTTTACCCTTCTGATAACAAGGTGAAAAAAAAATAACCTGTCTTTTCTATCAAATTGCATTGCTCAAGAGTTCCTGCTTTGGCTTTGTGGCTTGGCTCTTGTTAAGGAAAAGAGGAAATACTTTGGGCTAAGGAATGATCTTTGAAATGTAAGGTTATGTCTTAAATTGTTTTTTTTTTTCAGAGAGAGAATTAAGACACACCTCAGATTGTTCTAGAAATAACAGAGGGTACAGGTATATTTTGAAATTACTTGTGTTCTGTTAATCATTTCAGGCTTTTAGTGGTCACCCCATGTAAATACATTTTACCCTATTCAAACTAGTTAATCATAGGCATATTATAAACCTGAGCTCAACCAATCTGAGCAGTGGGGTGGGGCTTGCTGTGTTAGGGATAAATAGGGGAGCAGCCTGCCTGCTCTGCGTACTTGCTTGCCAGACTTTTGACTGATGATGCATCTTTCTGCAGAAGTAACTTTTGCCTTGGTGAGGCAATTCTTTATTTTCATGTCTATCATTGTGACCCCCATAGTTCTTGGAGAGAACATATTTATAACAACCAGTAAACTAGTAATATTTTCAAATATCACCTGATATGGTTTGCTTTCTCCAGAACCTACTAATCCCCCCCCACCCCTGCCACACACACACATTCCTTCAGCCACAAACACTACACCCAGAGAAGGGTGTAGTAGAAAACCTGGAATAAAAGGGCATTACTCATCTTTTGATTTCAGACTGGACTTTTGAGTGTTCACAGCTTTCTGTAGACTTGAAAGTGAAATTTTCAAACACATAAAATGGTGTTATAGCTCATAAATCTGGACTTTCACTTGTCAAGAATCAAAGCCTGCAATGAAATCCCCCACATAGTATAACTGATATGCATTAATAAAAGAAACAGGGCCAGGCATGGTGGCTCCCACCTATAATTCCCTACTCAGGAAACAGAGTTTAATTTTAGTATATGTGCTGCCAAAGTGAGCACAGAAGAGGAGTTTTGTAAACAAAACCGGAATGGGAAGCCCCAAGGGAAGATTGGACTGACCCCAACCCTGACCATGAACTAGAGAACTGTCTACACTGATGCAGGACATTTTCACCTCTGCCCCCTCCAAGCTGAGGAGGTAGGTTTGGCAGAACTGCCTTTGTCAAGATAAGCTTCTGGAAGTGAAAGCAGAAATGCAGAAGCACATGTATACCTTCCAGCGGGCCCCATGCTGGCAAATTCACATGACCACCAAACCCTCCCTGCCCCCTCCCAGATGGGGAACCCATTACCTTCATTGATGATCTGTTTGGCTGCAACTGCTGAGGAGAGGTGAATGGGCTCCATGAAAATGCTTTCTGTCTCTGCATCTGAGACCATGGAGAACCTGTGGGAAGAGGACATGTGTGTGTGTGTGTGTGTGTGTGTGTGTGTGTGTGTGTGTGTGTGGTGAGCCTGGAAGCACTGAGAGGAAGGCATTCTTACAGGAGAAGCCTGCATTGGATTTTAGCCACAACTGGAACACAGAGATAAGAGGAAAGCCTTCAAAGGTTTATGAAACCTGGGAACAAAAGGGGTAGATTCTGCTCATCTCTTTTGCCACCCATGTTGGCACTGCAGGTGTCTGTGTTGGTGTCACATGATGTGGGAAGATGTCTAGGTTGTGGAGAGAAGAGGGCATGTCTGCTGTTTGAGGGCCCACCCTGATATGGCTTGATTTTTTTTTTTGCAAGTCCCGCTATTCATTTGTTCTTCTTTTCTCTTATTTCTCTGCTGTCAGTACTGGAGAATGTCCCTAAGGTTGCCTTTCCCGGTGTTCTGCTGGACTGGTATGCTGCGACCATTTCCTCTATTCCTCACATCTTTTCTATGCTTATAATAGAATGGACTAAAAACAAAGGACCTGCTCTCAGATAGATTCTGATGCTGAGCACTGAGATGCAGGTTTAGGTTGATGTGGGGATGCAATAGTGTGTCAAGGATAAATGTCAAGGCTAGTCCTTCAGAAGAACTCAGTGGAGGTACTAAAAGGGACTATTTTTGCAACCTAGATAGTCAAGTCACTTTCCTCATCTTTCTTATTTCAGTTAGATTATCTTCTTGAGGGAAGTCTTCTCTGGTTTTGTACCATAAACCTTTCCATAGTGACACTCTTATCAGATGCACTTACACTTATTTACAAAATATTTGGCAACTAGCTATTTCCTATAACAGACCACACGCTCTCTGAGGATAGGCAGTATGACTGGGTGTTATATAGGCCATTGTGTTCCCAGTACCTAACACAATGTCTGGCATAGAGCAAATACCAAATAGATATTTTCTGACTCACAGACTGATTGAATTTGTTCTCAGTAGCACTGTATTTAAGGGAATGTGGCAGTTACTACAACCAGTAACAAGACTTATCAGGTATTTTCTACATTCTCAGCATGTAACAAGCCCAAAGCAGAAATCAAGGCCTGGCTAAGTTCTGGATATGCATATGCCTGGCTTTTCTGAGACAAAATGTACACAATCTCTAAGGTCTGATTACTAAAAATCAAGCAACGTTTTCTTATGGTAGATTGAATAAAGGTCCTGGATCTGTGATACTCCTCCCATAGACAGCGAGGTTAATGTAGGTTTCTCTCTGAGAACAACCTACATAAACATTCTGTGGTCTCTGTGACTGCTCTGATTGATGGACTATGGCAAAATGGAGAACAGTCCAGTTTCTGAACTTAGGTCTCTCAAAAAATTCTTTTTGACTAACATAATAATAGTGCATATTTAGGGAGCACAGTGTGATATTTCAGTACAACTATACATGTATACATCAAGTTAGAGTGATTAGCATTTCATATAACCTTATCTTTTGTTATGTTTGGAGACTTCAAGCTCTTCTCTATTAGTTCTTCATAAGCTATGAATAAGTTATTATGACTTGAATAGGTTATCAGAACATTTAAATATTTCTCCTCACTAAACTTGTATTTTAGTACCCATTATTCAACTTCCCTCGAGGCCCTCTCCCTCCTGTCCTTTCTGTCCTCCAGTTATTACCATTCTATTCTCTTCTATTTTGTGACCAACTTTTTAAAGCTTCTACATACAAGACAGAACATCTCACTTAATGTAATGTCCTCTAGTTCCATCAATTTGTTGTGACAAAATTCCATTCTTTTCATTGTGGAATAATATTCAATTTAGTATATATATCACATTTTCATTATCTATTTATCCATTGATAGACACTTCAGTAGATTCCATTTCTTTATCGTAGTGAATAGTGCTACAATAAACATGGGAGCAAGGGTTCCCACCCTAGCTCCCTTCCCCCTGTCCTTCCCTCACTTGAGACATGACCTTTTTAATAGTCCAGGCTGACCTGGAACTGGTGGTTCTCCTACTTCTACTTCCTGAGGGCTGAAATTACATACCTGGTGCAAGCATCTCTTTGATATATTGATTTCATTTCTTTTTTTTATGTATTCCCAGAAGTGGGATTGCTGGATAACATAACAAACTATTTGTGTTTTTTTAAGTAACATCTACAGCATTCTTCTAATGATTGTACTAATTTACATCTCCAGCTCTGCATTTTCACTAGCTTTTGTCTTAAAAACTTTTTTTTTTGATAATAGTCATCTGGGTTGGGTGAGAGAATGTCTCATTCAAGTTTGGGTTCTGTTTCCTGCAACCTGATCAAATTCATCTATTAGTTTTAAAGTCTTTTAATGGAATCTTTAGATTTTTAAAAAAATATAAAATAAGGGGCTGGGAAGGTGGCTCAGTGGTAGAGTGCTTGCCTTGCATGGATGAGGCTCTCGGTTTGATTCCTCAGCACCACATAACCAGAAAAAGCTGGAAGTGGCGCTGTGGCTCAAGTGGTAGAGTGCTAGCCTTGAGCTGAAGAGCTGAGGGACAGTGCCCAGGCCCAGAGTTCAAGCCCCATAACCAACCAAAAACAAAATTATACATATTTATATAGATATATAAAATCATGTCATATGTACAAAGGGATAATTTGACTTCTTCTCTTCTTATAACTATGTTATTTATTTCATTTTGTTGCCTAATTGTTCTGTCCAACTTCTAGTACTATGCTGAGAAAGAATGGATGAGAGTGTACATTCTTGTTCCAGATCATAGAGGACCTGAGGACAAACATAGAGGATAATAATCATGTTTGACATGATGACTGTTTTGTATATGTCGTATCATATATATACTCTGCTATGTTGAAGTATCTTCTTTTTATATCTAATTTCTTCAGAATTCTCATCATAAAAAGCTGTTGAATTTTATTGAATCCTTTTCTGCATCTATTGAGAATATTTCATGACTGTTTTCTTTCATTTTACTGATGCAATGTATTATATTTGTTGGTTTTAGTATGTCAAACCATTCCTGAATCTCTGGGATAAATCACTCTTGATCATGATATATGATATTTTTTGATGTACTGTTGGATTCAATTTTCTCATTTTTTAAAAGAAGTATTGCAGCTATGTTCAGCAGGGATATGGGTCCTTAGTTTTCTCTTTGTGATGTTTATCTGGTTTGAGTATCAGGGTAATACTGGACAAGTAAAATGTGTTTAGAAGGGTTTCTTCCTTTTAGGTTTTTATAAAAATAGTTCGAGAAGGATTGATGCTGTTCTTTTTTAAAATTAGAGTAGAATTAAGCAACGAAATTATTCATTCCTGGATTTTTTCGTTAGAACTTTATTACTTTATTACTTCTCAATCTCCTTGTTATTGGTCTATTTAAGGTTTCTATCTTTATGAGTCCATTTTGGCAGAAATCTATCCATTTCCTCCAGGATTTTAAATTTTGTTGATGTATAATCATAATAATTCCCAATGATCCTTTATATTTCGGTGGTATCAATCTTAATGTCTATTTTTCATCTTTGATTTTATTTATTTTTGTAATATTCCCTCAAACCTAACTAACTGGGCTTGGGACTATAAGGCTGCAGAATTCCTTGCCTTCTACAACTGTGTGTGTTGGTGGTTCCAATATGGACCACTGGGCCTTCTTGTTTACATTTTCTCATTGTGAATAGAATTTCCTCAGTTCAATTGGTCCAGATTGGCAGTTCAGTTGCTCCAGTGATGGGTAAATTGCTGCTAGACACTTGTTCCCTTCTTTACCAGGCTACCTGGAGTATCCATTCTCCACAATTTCCTTGTTCCATCCACACTGCATGCCAGCTCTCTCTTTTAATATTTTAGCCAAATAACAGCTGTTTATTTTTGGTTTTGATTTTTCTATGGTAAGATGGGGAAGTGTTCCATGTCTGTACTTAGCCATCTTACCAAACTCTCTGAGTCCAGTTCTTAATGAAGTGGCGCCTCCCCTCCTTGGCTCTTGTCACTCTTCCTGGAAGCCCTGAGCTGCCATACAAAAGTCTAACTTACTCAGACCATCAATCTGGAAAACTCATTGGTCTACAGTCACTGTGAAGCTCCCAGCTGCTAGCCAATCAGCCAGCTAGCCATGTGTAAGAACCTTTCAGAGATGAATCCCCCCATCCTTTCTGACCATTGATGCCACATAAAACAGAGATAAAATGCCCAGTTAAGTGTTATCCAAACCAGGTCCACTTAAGTTTGTCCATATTCCTGATCCAAGGAAAAACAAGTGAAATAAAATTATTTCCTTAAGTCATTAAGTTTTAATATAGTTTGTTAAACACGAATGGATAATGTGAGCAGTGCTATTCCAAGGGCTAAGAAGTAAGTTTTGAGCTAACACTATGGTATTTTTTTTCTCTAGTAGTGATAGAAAAAACAAGATTAACAGAGCCAGTCTATAGTGTGGATGTGAAGTAACAGCAAAAAGATGCCAAAATAGGTAAACAAATCCTGCCTCTCTCTCTACTAGACCTTGTGGATATTCTGAGCTCAGGGTTCATGGCAATCTTGGTTTTCAAATATGCATGCTTCATACAACTAAAGTCAGCATTTTAATTTTACGTTAATATGAGTCATATTTAAATGTAAGTAATATTTGTTGAGGAGTTTTTCTTATTTTTATTAATTGCATTTGTTCTGTTCTTAATAAAACATTATTTTGTTTGCTGAAGGTCAGCATGGCATAAAATGAGATTTGGGACAAAACAATTCATGCTAAAGATGTTTTGCATTGCTGCAAGAATTTTAAAGGCTTCATCTTTGAATAGCCCTTCATTTCTCTTGAAGGGTCAGCTTTCTTTGTTCCTCTATGTAAAGCTATTCTTACATCTGTAATCAGCAACTGACATGGACTGAACTTGGACCAAAGAAGCGCCTTCATGTGTCAGGTATGCAGAAAGGCCCACAGGAACTCAGCAGGTGGTGGTTCCGTTCAAGGATCATCTCGCTGGCTGCCTTTTATCATGCCACATTCCCCAAACAT